ATTAAAGTCAAATACGCCTAATGCTTTTTTTCCAATAGTACAAAATCCTCCATTGTTAGTTACATGACTAGATTGTGAATGACAAGAATATCCACACTCAAATTAATATTGAGAGTTTTCAACCAATTGAAAAGTATTTGTTATTGATTAGTACATGACAATTTTACGTTTCTTTAATTTTAAAATCAATTCCGACATATACACTAGAGATGTAGAGAACAATAGAGCATTGCCGGCAGTAAATTGTCGATTAGAAGATAGTCAACCGTCCAAGTACCAAACTACTGTCGATATAGGGCATATTATATCGAACGATCTAACGACAGTTTTCGTCCGATTTGAATCACACAGGCTGGCTTCTTTTGTTTTCATCGTATAATACAAAAGAAAAAGAAGCGAAAATTCTTGTTTAATCCGATAGATTGAATAATTAGAAATTAATTTGTATTTCTCACTTCGATATTACATCTGATACTCACTTACTAATAATCGAATGTTTTAATTCATTATATCCATTTGTTATTCTTTTTTCCGATGAAAATATCTCATTAAAATCATATCTAGATTTATCAACAGGAAAATACAAACAAATGTATTAAACAATAATCCTAGAAAAAGCTTTTTATTTTTTGTTGACTTTTTTTTTATGAGTCTTACAAATAGCATATATCAAAAAAACTGGGAACAGATAATATATGCTTGTATAATCAACGCTAATGACAGAAAAAGAAGTTACGAAAAAAACGATTTAACGCTTTTTACGAGCAAGTTCTTCAGTTGATTCATCGAATTTCGGGTCAGCAATATTGATCATTAATGCTTGAGCATCAAGAAATGCACGATTTGCACTTAATGAAAGCTAAAAAAAAACAGAGAATTAAAATTAAAAAAATTAAAATATTTTTATACCGTTTTAGCAATATTTTGTGCAGCACGAATTCTACGTAATTTCAAATAACCAGGATTTTTACTAATAGCATTACCAATCTAAAGCAAAAGAAAAATATTCAATACCTTTTTGTTTTTGTTTTTTTTTGGTACTAATTATACATACAAGTTTAGCTGATTCGGCATCACCTTCAGCTAAAACGATTTTTTGTTGTCGTTCTTGTTTAGCTTGTTCGACAGTAAATACGGCTCGTTGTGCTTCTTGTTGAGCAACTTGTTTAGCTTCAACAGCAGCGGAATATTGTGCACCAAAACTAAGTTCAGTTATTGATACATCATCAAGTAATATATCAAAATCTTTTGCACGTTCAATAAGATCAAGACGAATTAAATTCGATACTTGTTGCCGTTGTGTTATTAGTTGTGATGCATTAAATTTAGCCACAACGCCTTTTAATACTTCATTACATATTGATGGTAAAACACGTTCATCCCAATCTAAACCTAATGATTGATATAATTTAGGTAATTTTGATTGATCTGGTCGAGCTAAAACTCGGAGAGCTAAAATAAAAAACGAAATTATTTTTATTAAAAATTAAATATTTCAAAAAAAAAGAAAATAAACAAACCGATAGTGATCATTTGTAAATCTATAAAGAAAAAATAAATAGATAAATGAATGAAAATAAAAAATACGAAGAAAATATCAAACCTTTGCTTCCAGTTGGTGATTTAATTATTCGTGGTCGAGCTCGAATATCATACGTAATTGGATATTGAAACCATGGAACTCTATATAAGAAATGCTCGAATCAAATCATTAAAACTTTTTATTTTTCTTCTTACCTAAAATGTAATCCTTCAGTGTAGATTGTGTTTTGATCAATACCACCAATACGATTAAAAATAATTGCACGATGACCACCCTCAACTATAAAAATCATGATCTAGCAAATTTAAATTTACTTTTATTTATTAAATTACCTGTAAACATGGATTTATAAACTCCATAAATGGCAGCTGAGGTTCCCACAAGTAACTTAACACCTAGACCTAATCCTTTCGGTGTACCTTTAGATAATCGACTAGCGAAATCATTCAATTTTTCAGCCATATGAACTGTTTTTTTTTTTTTGTATAATCTAAAATGAAATTTATTTGACAAAAAAATTATTAATACGAAACAAATGAAAATATTTAAAAATTTATTCCGAAAGAGATTTTTTTGTTGATGATGAATTATTATTTAGTAATTGATTAAAAAGAGATGATATTTCTGTATCAATTGATGTTATAATCGATGAAACATCATGTTCTATTGATGGATGACTATTCTAAAAGAAAGAAAAAGAAAGTTTTGTTTAAATAAAAAATTAATTTTACTAATAAAATTTCTATGTAGAGTTTATAAACTTTGTATCTTCGAGATATGAACTTTTCAAAACAATACAAAATTATTTTCAAAAGCGTCATAGATTAGACATGTGATGTTTACAAACTCTTACACTCGCCAAGCAATTTACTGTATTTGAGAATTTCAAATGGACTTAGTTTCAAGAGATAAAACTCGAAAGCATAATTTTTCATATTAGCAACGATTGCTCGATCCCAAGCAGTAGTCGATCGATAATTCGGAATGTTCCAACTGGTTTTTGAGACCTGTGTTTTGCATTAGACAAAACCTAAGAATAGCTTCGAAAAAAACGTTTAAAACTGACCATAACTAACGTGAGGCTTAAACTCTTATGAGAATTTTGAACGCTCTTTCCCAAACTATTCTTACGTAATATTATGTTCTAGAAATTGGTGTATCCCTACGAACAGGTATATTTTAAATTCAATAGTTCCATCAAGTCTTAATAAGAACTCAAATCATTTTAGAATTTTTACTAAAATAATTGAAAGAAGGTATCTGTCGAAACTTATTTATAAGTCATACATTTGATATCCATAATTGTTCAAGTTGAACCAATGCACTGTCAAGAGTATCAATAGCTGCATTAAATTTTTGTTTTTCTGCTTCTAAATGTTGACACTCAACATCATGTAATAATTCATTGTTTTCTTTTGTTATTGGTTGATCAAGTACACTTTCCTATTTTTTAAATTTATAATTTTATAGGAAAAAAACAAGAGAACTTATTAATTACCATCCATTTCCAAAATATATTTTCATTTTTATTCCAATATAGAAATAAACTTAATTTATGATGTTCTTTATCAAGTTCAATTAAATACTTTAAAATATAAATGAAATAATTTTTAAATAAAAATAATATCAATTAAATTACTTGAGATATAAGATGAGGATATTGATAAAGTTGCAATTCAAATGATGACATATGATTATTTTCTTGTAAATTCGTATGTTCAATTGCTTGTAAACGAGAACGTATTTTTAAATTCGTACGTATAGCTTGTTTTATTTGTTCAATTAAATCACATTTAACATCTTGATCTTTATCTATCTGTTAAATATAAAACAAATAAAAACAATATTTTAATATAAACACAAAACAAAAAAACATGATCGATATGTACTTGATTATCATTTGAAATCGATTTTAAACATAATTTCATACATTTGTCAATAAATTTAATATGATAAATAAGCCAACCAAGACAAACAAGTAATTGTTGACTACCTTTTTCCATATTATTATCAAGTGATAAAAAATGATCATATGTATATCCACGTTTATAAAGATCACGTTTGATTATATTAACTATTTCTTCTAAATAAGAAATATAAAAATATTTAAGTCAAAATCTTTTTTCGATGGGTTAAGTTAACCAATGCAGCATATTCTTATATTTCAAGATAATCTATAACGTAAAGGATGTGAGAATAGACCTTTTCTTTAGTCACGCCAACACACTCTAGCAAGTTCCTGTCTCAATGAATGTAAATCAAATAAATTTACATCAACATTTAATTTCCAAAACGAAAGAGATAGATCAGCACCTAGAGTAGATAATTAATAACGACTTGATGTTTTAGAAATTCTATTCCGAATTAATTCTTTGAAAAACCGTAAGGTCATAATATACGATGCTCAATTAATGACGTGAAATATCAACTTTCAATAATTCTTCCTAAACACGTGCTGAAAGAAAGACTTTTTAAACAATCGATAGGAAATCTTATCGTTTTTTAAACTAAATATGATTCATTTTAATGAGATAATCATCGGCAAAATAGCATGAGAAAAAAAGAGAAGCACGCGCAATATCAATCCGTAGTCATTCCTATAGAATGATAATGATTAATAACAACATCTGTAAATTTAACTCTAAATGCGTGTTGGAGTGATGTGGGTTTTCTTATGTCAGTTAATCTAAGAAAATACAGACTCATTATATAGATGCATTTCCTTCCTTTTGTTCTATATCAAACAGGATATTATTGCTGTCTGTTTGTATAAATTGAAAAAGCATAATGAAACATTGAAATACCTTTTGACATTTGAGAAAATTTATCTTTGAAAAGTTCTTGATTAGTTGGTTTTGAATCAAAATGAATCAGTTCAAATATTAATTTGTATAATGGAATGATCTAAAAAAGTTTGTATTTTATAAACATTCTATTTAATCCATATTCAATCTTACCGCTTCATTTTGATCATATTTAGCCAAACAAAAAGTTTCCGATGTAATCATCGAAAATCCATATAAAGATAAAATCTGACAAAAACAATCAATTACTGGACGGACTTCTTCTGATGACATTCTAAAGTAACACATATTCATTATTTATTTATTTATTTTTTTTAACAAAACAAAACAAAAAATCTTTTTCTTTTATTAATATATTTATGTATATATATATATGTATATGTATAGAATTTTGTATGTTTGATAAATGAAGAAAAAGAGAAAAGAAGAAAAATGAAAAAAGAAAAAGAAAAAGAATAGATTTTTTGTTTCATACACCATATCTCTCTCTATTATTCACTTAGAAAAGAAAAACAAACAAATAAACATGGAATATCCAGCTACCTAATCTAGGTCGCATAGAAAGAAATACAAAAAACAAAACGAAGAAAAAAAAAAAATATACAAAAACAAAAGTGCACATGCATGGTTTCATTTTTGTTTTAGATCATTAATTAGGTTTTACTTTTTATTTCTGTTGTAATTGGTGAAGTCGGAGTCCATTGTTGTTGATGTCGTGCAAGTATGAGATTCATAGAAGAACTGTTCATCGTAGATAAATCATTCGAAGATGAATTTGATGAATGATTCATATTAGTTGATGGTGATAATGGTGTTGATATTATTTTACGACTACGACGTGATGAAACACGTGTAGGAACACTACTTTCAGTTTTAGAAGAATTTGTTGATTGTTGAGGAGATAAACGACTAGAAAAAAACAAATTATATTTTGTTAGTTTTAGTTGTTCAAAAATACATTGTTGTAGGTATTTTTGGAATCACTTAACAACAGAAAGAGCTAGAGAGCTGAAATTGACCAATCAGCTAAATTTCTGGTGAAGATTTTCGACCAAGATATTCTGAAGCTATTTTTCTTTCATTTAAGACTGTTAATAGGTCTCTTCGATAGTTTCCACTTTAGCTAATTAGCACGATGAATTACTCCTACCTAGCCGTTTTTGTCGGTGATCGCAGATCAATTGACTGAAATCGAAAGTCTCAGAAAAAGTTTTATAACTGTCGAATGGAAGTGGCTAGGAGTGTCGATTTTGCGACGATTAAAAGAGAAGAATTGTTTTATATAAAGTCTAGATCAAATTTCGATATACGTCGATGACTTCATGTCCTTTCTTGTGAATAGTAGAAAGTGCAGTTATCTAGCTCTTTCCATTCTTCTTACTTTAACATTATTATTCTAACCATTGATTTAATTAAAAAATAAGCCTATTATACATATCCATTCTATCTAAAATAGCTCTAGCTGAGAAACACTAATATTGATCATCTAATGACTATAGCAAATTCATCTATATCACTACTTATCATGTTTAATATGAACTTTTACCTATGCAAAAAGCGAATAGTTGAAGTTTTGTTGTTAATGATGTTCAGCATCTTCGTCCGTTACTAAGAAACTCTGTGCAAGGAGTCTGGTGTCTGTTGTCATCGGTTGCTATGAGTGAGAAGATCTGCTAAGCGTAGACTTAAAATTTACGTTCATTATAGTTTTCTTTGAGAAACATAATGTACGGTCCACAAAAGAAAATCTTTACCTGCTACTTGAAGGTCGACCACGTTTTCCTTTAATAGTTGATACGGGTGAATGTGATGGAGGGGGAGGAGGAGGTGTTGGCATAGGTGGATCACAAACTGAACATTGCCATGATCCATCTGGAATGGCTTCGAGACCAACACAATAAGTATGATAACCACGATCACATCGATCACAAAACATCATATTAGCCTAAAAAAGAAACAAATATATATATATCTATATAATAAATCTTAATTTTTCTTTTTAAATATCGTACTTCATCATGTGTTTTATTACATTTAGCACAACTTTTACAATCAATACATTGCCATGGATATGTTTTGATAATAGTTAACATATCATTATTAGCTTCAAGACAAGTTGGATGAAAATTATGTTGACAACTAGTACATGTAACTAATTCTTCATCATGTTCATCTTGAGGTAATTTACATGTATGACATATACTTGAATGACTATTCATAGAAATCGATGTTGATGGTTTACTTAGACGAGATGATGATGATGATGATGATATAGTATTACCACCAATTCCATTGACTATTACAGGTGATTGTGGTGTTGATGGACGTTGTTGAGTTGAACTATTGATAAGAACAGGACGAGTTGTTGAACAACTTTCATCTTCTTCATCACTTGATGCAATCTAAAAACAAAATTTTATTCTTTTCTCTTGGATATTCATTGGTATAGGCATGAGCAGAAACAGTATTGAATCTCACAACTAACTCGATATTGATTGTAGAGAACTTTACAAATTATCGGTTACTAAAAAACAATACTTATAAACAGACTGCCTGGAAATGGCTACACGAACTGATACATACAATTTGAATGTGGGATCTCAAATCACTGAATCTCACTTTCTAGTGAGGAAATCATTCGAAATGATATTTCGCGCCCTTTGAAATTATTAGAATTTCCTAAAAAAGCAACCAAAAACAATTTTGATAAGTATACAAAGTTTTAGGCATATCGTGTCGAAGGTGAAAACTTCAATGTAATGATAATAACTGAAAAAGAGTAGTGTGAAGGAAAGAACTATTCTAGCTTCAGCAGACTCTATTTAATGACTGAGGTCTAATCTCAAACGCGAGTTATCATTTCGGGTAATTTTTCTTGTGAACGATTGATTGTTTCGGAGTCATCCAATGGTTTTATAATATTCAAACATTTATCTTGCTTATCTGCACAAGACTAATTAATAAGATTTAATTTTTAGCAAAGAAAAATTCGAATTTGACATTTATTAACAAAGTAATTTTGAAATCTTTTAAACATAATTATGAATTTCATTTAATGTAAAAGAACGTTTAATATTGATAAGCAAACGAAATTTATCTGTCGTATATTTTTCATACCTATCTAATCTCTCTTGATACAACTATTAGAAAAATGTACCAAGTATATTCAAATCGTTTTCATAATATATGTTGATTAAATATGAACAAGAAAGTCTCTGGACTAACAAAAAAAAAAACGGCCAATCCCACTCATGTTAACATAATAAAAATGTAAATTTACCTGCTGTGAAAATCGTTCAGTATGAACAAGTGAAAGTGGTTTAGGATAATAATAAAGTGCTGTATTAATTGGCATATAATTTAATTCATCGGAGTTATATTTTTTATAAGAATCTTGATATTGTCCAGGTAAAAGTGCTAACGGATAAGAACCAACTTCTGTTAAATAAGATGGTAAACGAAATTGTCTATTTGCAGGATAATGTATTTGCTAGAAAAATATATTTAAAACAAAAAAACTAAATTTGATTAAAATATAAAATAGCAAACCATAGTTTGAAGATCAAAACATGCTTTACGATCTTGAAGTCGTTCTCGTTGTAATTGTGTATTATAATCAACTGTTGAACGTAATAAATCTTGTCGAAATTTCTTTAAAAAGACATAAGCAAAAAGAAAAACGAATCTAATAAAGAATTCTAATAGACGAAAAGAAAAAAAATGCATACAGAAACCCGATTTTTGTCTAGATTATCAAATGAATTAATTGTTTGAGTATTTGATGTAGATATTGATGATTGATTTATATTTGATATAGATAAAACTGATGTTACAGTACCATTCTTATTGGTTCCAACAAGTGAACGACGTTTTTGTTGCCATACATGATTAAATTGCTAAAATAATTGAAAATAAACTATCGTAAAATTCATAATTTCATCTAACATTTTAATATTCAGTTAGACAAGAAAAGAATAGTTTTAAAAAAAAAACATTATATCAACTCTCATAGAACTTGTGATAGAATCAATTAATAATTCTTTAAAAATTTCAAAGCATCTACCATCCGGACATGACTACTTTCAGTCTTGAATTGATAGAAATATAAATTTCGGTTATCCCGAACAGTTGATTTACTATATTATACCATATGGTTGTCTTTTCTTATTGATCGTGGAACTAACGAGGGCATCTTTTCAGATATCCCCTTTCGATTTCAAGGATTTCTTTTTTGCCTATAGACACTGCATAGTGTTCTAATAAAAATTCTTAAAGAATTTAGATTTGACTAAGCTATCAGAATTTTGATCTGAAACTTTGTTCACATGAAGAATTCAATTAGACTAGCTTCCATAAAAAAAAAATTCACAATTTTTGAAGAAAGTCTCTACGAGATATGAGTCTTTCAAGATATAGATCCTTTTCTATGGGTAGTATACAGCGTATGCATTTTTTTAAAGGACACTAGTCTAGTTGATCTCTTTATAGTAAAAATTCGATAGATTAGACAAATTTCAATAGGAACTGAAAGCTTTTTACAGTATTTTTGAGTCTATTCTGTCACATCTATCATGAAAAAGTGATTGAAAGCGAAAAGAGACTTGAAAATTATTCATTACCCTATGATCTTCCTTGAAGGTGTGAGTTGGAATGCAGAGAAGACTAACATCCACACTCGGAACTGTTTCAAGTTCGAACTCTACGCATAAGATAGATCACAGTAGGATGAATGCCCTTAGATCTTTCTTATAGAGTTGGAATTCAAAAATAATTAATTATTTGTAAGAGTTTCTTTCGTTAAAAGAAGGAGATTTTATCGAAGAAAATAAATATTAATCAACCCTTGATATTTCTTATCTCTTACGTGACATTTTTCTGGATAATCAGTTGACATAAGTTCTAAAACTTCATCAAGTTTAAGTGCTGTTAAACCAAGATCACATTGTGTTTCTGTAACAACATTTTGAGATTTTAAATATTCTCGTTCATGTAAATCAACAATTCGTCGATAAATGTCTATTAATAACAAAGAAACAACAATAAAAAAATCAAGATATTGTTGTTTTTTTTTGTTTGAGATAATAAAACTATACCAGGATATTTTCGTTTAAATGATTTAAGTGATAAATAATCACATATTTGTTCTTGTAATACATGTAAATCAGCATGTGGTTCACCTGTTGGCCATCTATAGATATGTAATTTATCAGCAGATAAATGTCGCCTAAGACAAAAAAAAATTCAAATTTTTTTTTCACAAGAAATTGAAATTAAAAAAAAAACTAACCCTAAACTTTGATCAATGTCAGTTGTTGTTCGTTTTTTTCGACTTTTCTTCGTTGATGTATCTGTAGTTATAGCTGAATGATTACTTTCATTATTATCATCTCGTGTTAAACTTGGAGATCGACTACGTTTAAGAGATTTATTTGTTGATTCACTATGATTATAATTAATATGATTATTAATTGAAGGTAAAATAACAACGTCCGATGACGTTGATACTGATGAATGAATTGAATTATTCATCAATTAATCTAAAGTTTTTAAAAAAACAAAAAAAAAAGTGTTTTCTTTTTTGCCCTTCAATAAACGAGATACTATTGCAGTGCCATTTGGAACTAATTCTAACCTCGATAATAAGAAAATAAAAAAGAATTTTTAATTAAAAAAAGAAGAAAATGTATTAAACATTTTATTCTTCGAGAAATTAGATTTTTTAATTTAAAAATATTTTTATATCTTTTATTCAGAAATAAATCGATAGAGGACGTTAGATGTATTCTTTTTTTTTTGAAATACATTGATTGTAGTGCAAATTGAATCATATTCAATACTCATGATGAACCGAAAGAAAAAATATTGCTATAGTTATTGTGATTAATTGAAATAAAGATGTTGCAGCATCATGGTAGCCGATTGATAGGTTCACCGAATTTTCAACAATTATATACAAGTCGTTTTGTACCTTTATTTGTACATTTGATTCTTTTAATACTTATTTTGGTTTTTGCTGTAAGTTATCTACTATAAAAACATAAGGAAAAAAATGTCCTTAAATGACTTCTTCCTTTATGATTGACGTACTTTTTTTTAAAGGACGATCTCGTTAATAATTGTGGTACGAAGGATTATGCAAGTGCACCGAATAAAAATATTTGGTAAGTTTATTTTGAATTTATGAATTTTTATTGATTTTTTGTTTTTATTACGGAAACAAAAAAGGTCGAGTGCTTGGACAGGTGCGTCACTTGGTTTAGTTGTTATTGAAATGGTTTTATCTCTATCAGGTTTTTCAATTTTTCGATATTATGCTATTATTTTCTGTAAGAAAAATATTAAAACAATGAGTTTATTTATTTACATTTTTATTTCTATAGCAATTGTATTACATTCAACAGCATGTGTTGTTATAAGCGCGTATTTTATGTCGGATATAAGTATTTGTACGGGTTCACCATATTTATTATTTTTTTGTACGTTTTTACCATTGGTTATTGAATTGATCAGTTGGCTTGAACTATTTGCATTCAACAAAAAACTGTGATTTATTCTTTTTGTTTTTTTGCGTAATTTGATTTATGTAGTTCCGTCCATTGAATATACATATAAAAATTGAATGCAATTAGAATGTTTGTTTTTGTACTAACATATAGATATTTATGTTTGTCTAACTTCTAGAGAATGGCTACAAATGTGCTTTCTTCTCGTTCATCAAATCCACCAGCTGATGTTTCAACATTAAATTCTTATGGCGCATTATCTCATTCTAATGATATTGAAGTATTACCATCAACAACAGTAATTAATTCAACATCGACGCATAATAATGAATCTGATTCTACCATATCAAATCATTATAAACCTCCGAAAACTCCTTGTTTAAAACCTCAACAATCTGAAACAATATTTGCCATATTTTTATTTACACTTGGTCTTAGTTTATTAATCTATGTTATTGTTTCATATTGGTTTACACATAGTCAAATATCTCCAATAATTATATTTATATGTGGTTTACTTTGTTTTATACCTGGTTGTTATTATTTAATCGAACATTATTCTTTTTTATTTCAATGTCAACGAAATCGTCATCGACCTTTACAAATAACCGATCAAGATGAAATTATTTAAATTGAAATTACATTTTAAAACTTCTTATACATAATATTATTTCGTCAATATTTCTATTATTCATTTTACTTATTTCATTCAGATATACGAAAACAAATTTTTTTGATTTTATTTTACTCATTTTTACCTCATTATATAAACATATCTTTTTTTTCTTGAAGAAAAAAACAAAAACAAAAAAACAAACTATTTTTTCTGTATTTATATTTTTTAGATGAGTGTAACTAATTTCAATACAGATTTATTTCGCGATTTAACATTTGATCTTTTATCGGGTATTGCACAAGATCCAACGAAATTCGATGAATTAAATAATGCTTATTTAAATAAGTTTCATGATCGTACAGATGGTGATAATTTAAGACAATACACAAGAGAAATTTATGAGAAAATTCTTTGTAAGAATAAATAAATAAATCATAGAAAGTTTATTAAATTATTATAATTTAGCTCTACAAATTGTACAATCGAATTCAGGAGTTCAATTAAAAGATACATTTCATGAAACAATCATCGTAGTTTACTTTTGGAATTTTTCTAATGTTCATTCTTCACATACGATGCAAAAAATGATTGGAATTGATAAACGATATTCTACAGCCGGTGTAAGTTATTTCGAATAGAATTGAATAATATATGATTTCATGTATCATATAGACTTATTTAATCAATAAGATATAGATAAAATAGACTTCCGAATTGATAGAAAAAGCAGTAATTAGTTTCTTTCATTCAAAATCTAAGGCTTACTTCCGGCGAAGATTGTTCAAACAGGAAAGTAAGTTACTTTATCTAAATATTTACTAGTGCTTAAAAATGAAGAAGACACTTTATCTTTCGGCTACCATTGTCGGTGTAGGATGTTGCCAAAGCAATTTTGATAACTCGATTACTTTTCCTACAGTTGGCAAGTTTCAGATTTGCCTAAGACTAGTTCATAACTAGATAATGGACATTACAGTTCGAAACAAAAACATAAAGCTCAAGATGAAATTATACAATTTTTTTTTCAACGTAAATTTCATAAGACTAACACAAAGACATTCAAAATCGTTTGGTTTATTTTTTGTTATTTCAGAATAAATTGTGAAAAATTTTATACTAATGACATATGATTTTTGATACCATACTGTCTACAAATTAACTGTGTTCAGTAATATTTAAATATACGTATTAAAAGCTATCATTGATTGTTAACAAGTGCTACTTGCAAATAATTGTTTTATGGAACTTATAAGAAGAGAAAAGGTCACTGAGTACGTTTTTATAGCAAACGAGAATAACAAGTACTAAACTATTTTTCTAGAATTGCCTAGCAATGGGAAAAAGTGTTGAACGGCATTGATAACAAGACTTCGACTGTTTTAGAACATTCCAAATCCTTCTTTGGAATTTGTTGGATGACTGGAATACTGTTGTCAATGTTTTAAATAGTGCTGTTTTTTTTTTGCGTAGAATAATTATGTGTTGAATTAGTCAATTAAGAACTTTCTCAGCTTAGTGTGGTGATATCTGTTGTAGATATAATGAATATTTATAACAGACTTATTAGTCAGTTAAATCAATAAAAACAACAAAACAAACACAAAAAGAAATTGCGTTCGAAATACAGAAATAAATAGGACAGATCGTTTCCCTAGTGATCGATCATTCTTGGAACATAAATCATAGTCCACTAGAGATTTTTTTGCTTGGCATATTTTGTATTAGTATAATGAAGAGAATTCACATATTAGTTCTATTATTCTTAGAATAAATCATATAATTTGTTCTTAACAATGAAACTTTACTGATTCGATCAACTTAATAATTAACCACAAACAAAGATTTCATTATTTTTTTTTTATCTAGACAAATAAATATAAATATTCGATAAATTTCTTCATTTTTTCTTTCAAGGTCACTGTTATCGGTGTTCATTCTCCAAAATATGAACATGAAAGAAATAAAGCAAATGTTCGACATGCTGTTGAAGAACAATCACTTCCATTTGCTGTTGTTAATGACAATAGTTTACAAGTATGGAAACATGTCGGTTGTCAAATATTGCCAACAGTACTTATTTTTGGACCTGATTCATTACCAATATTCATATTTGAAGGAGAAAATCATGTACAACATTTAGAATTATTTCTTGTACCTGTTCTTGCTTTTTATAAATCCAGTGTACGTGCACCACCAAACAATGCATTATCAATAAAAAATTCACCAGAAGATTTACCTACAAGTGGTGCAAGTAAAGATAAATTTTCTTCTTGTTAAATATAGAATACAAAATAAAATTTTATTTAAAATAGTTTCAAAAACAAAAAAATTTACATATCCAAGTCATATATGTGTAACTTCAAGTGGACATTTATGTATTTCATTTACGGGTTCAAATCAATTAATTTTCTGTGAAATCGATGGCAAAGTTCTTGTAAGTTTATTTATAAAGATATTTACGTAATAAAATGTTTTTCTTTTTCCATAGGATATTGTTGGTACTGGTCATGCTGGTATGGCTGATGGTGATATACCACAATGTGAATTCGATTCACCACATGGTCTTGTAGAATATAATAATTGTATCTATATTGCTGATACAAATAATCATGCAATTCGTGTGGTAAAAAAATATTGGAAAGAATGTGAAAAATAATTTTTTGATTAACTTTATATTTAGTTTGATCCTAATTCACGTCGTGTCGTTACATTAATTGGTACAGGTCGTTTAGGAACTGACAAAATTGGTGGTCTTAAACGAAGTCAACAACCCATTGCTTCACCATGGGATTTATGTATTACAGAATCACCATGTAAGATTTATTCTTTAAAAATTTTGTAATAATGATTTTGCGGAAATTTGAAATCTATCACAAAATACGTCATCTTTTGCTATATGTTTCAGAAATTACTTTTTTTAAATTCAATATGATCAAATCTTTTATATTCGACAGAGCAAGAACGTCTCTTTCATACACGAAATCTTACTTTGAACAAATGTTTCTTTCTGTAGCACTAGGGAGTAGTTCCAATCCTTTTTCTCATGAATGATAGTACAGAAAATTTTGAAAAGGTCTTGAAAACAGTGAGTACCAAAATTCTCTATTCATAAATATATTAGGTTGAATTAAAAGTTTCAATGCTTGTTAAAACAATCAAAATTTCGCCGAATCAATAAAAATTCGTTGAACATATAGAAAACAAAATTATTATTTTTTTTTATTAGTCGATCATAAATTAGTATTACTGATTTCAATGGCTGGTCAAAATCAAATATGGGCATATGCTTTTGAAGAAACTCAATGGTGGAATGATGTGTATGTGAAATATAAAATAATTTGAATAATTTTGTTATTTAATCGTATTTGTTTTTTTCATTTAGTATATTACAAAAAAACTCATGTTCAGCAATCATTGGAAGTGGTACTGAAGAAAATAGAAATAGTTCTGAGCCAATGACTGCTGGTTTAGCAAGTCCGCGTGGTATTTGTAATGGTATAATGAATGGAGAACCAGTATTGTTCATTGCCGATAGTAATAGTTCGACTATACGTGTTGTGACACTTCATGATGGACATGTTGCTAATTTAGTTGGTGGTGATGCTGATCCAACAGTATGATAAGAAGAAAATTTTTATTTTTTTTTGTAATTAAATTTATTTTTTGAAATAGAATCTTTCAGTATTTGGTGATCTTGATGGTAGTGGTCATAATGCAAAATTACAACATCCAGTTGGTATTGCATTTCATTATCCATCATCACAATTATATATAACTGATACATATAATAATAAATTAAAACGTGTTGATATGAAAACTTTAGTTTGTTCAAGTGATTTTGAAATAGATACTGATAGGAAAAAACAACGTGGAGAAACAAATTCAGCAAAATTTAATGAACCATATGGTATAGCTATATTTGAACATTATTTGTATATTGCTGATAAAAATAATTCACATATTAAACGAATTGATCTTGATCAGGGAACAATTGTTCGTGTAAGTATATTTTATATTTTATGTCGTGTAATTAATTGTAGATTTTCTGATATGAAAACTTACATTTATTTGATAAGAAACTACTCAAAATTGTTCTCATCATAGAATTTTATATCAGCTGAATGAAATATATTTTTATTTGATATTTGCTTCATCATGTCTTTTGTAGAACTAACATTTATTTTCGAAGAAAATAGGGAGTGTAAGTCTAAATTGAGTTTTTTGCGTCTCCTCTGATCAGAGATCAATGAGTATGTTGTTTCTAAGAACAGAAGAGATATGGAAAAAAGTGCTGAACGATAATTGCAACAAGACTTAGACTGTTCTAGAAAATTATATATTATGATTACTGTATAGTTTTTCAATTACATTTTATTTGGTATAAAATCATTAATTTTTATTTCTAGCATCGATTTGATTTAAGTGAAACATTGAATGAAGAACGTTCATTTGGTTCGAAACAAGCTTATTTAACTATTCTTCTAGCTGATCCACTTCAATTACGTGAAGGTAATGCTGGTACATGGATCATTGAAGATGAAGGTAAAATAATGAAATTAATTTTTCTTATAATATAGAAAGTATTATAAATTTTGATAGATGGTTTTAAAATATGTGATGGTGAACTAACACGTCATACATCTGATCAAACACTTTTAGATTATATTCCACGTGATAAACAGGTAGCGCAACTTAAATATGAATTAATGGTATGTCAAGATGAAAACTGTTCAATGGTGAATGGTATAGTTCAACCGGCTAATCAAACAGATTCAGCTATTGAATTTATCATTAAAATTGATCAAAGAGAAACAACAAATTCTGACTAGTCATGTTCTTTTTTGTGTTTTTTACTTTTTTATTAATAATCCTGCGAATGTTTATGTTTTATTTTTCAAATTTGAACTCTTTTCGCATGTTTAATCTCGCATAGCATTGCACTGCATAAAAAATCTCAATTGAAAGAAAAAGACATAACATTAATGTATTCGAAAAGTAAAAAAGTACATAAGAGT